TCAATTGTTTGACTATAGTAGTAGGAAGTCTAGTTTTTACTCTTATATGTGGTATTCATTCTTGTTTGACTCTTGGATTGAGATCTACAGACTCTCGAAAAACTAGTTTCTTCTTTTTTACCACATTGCCTAATCAGTGACTGAGGTGAAGTCGTAACAAGGTAGCCGTAGGGGAACCTGCGGCTGGATTGACTCCTTTCCAATATACATACCCAGATTTAGAAAGAAAAAGAAAAGAAAAGAAGAAGACGAGCCCAGTTAGAAAATGCAGCTGGATGTGTAGATGCCCTAGTGATTATCTGCACCTGGAGATTTGCAGGTGCCCCAAGTGATGGTCTGCCTCGTGATGTACAGAGGACGATGTATCCATCAGGATTTGAACTCAGGACCTATCAGCCAGTGAATGGTACACGTGCACCAGTCAGCCCCAAGGCCGGTCCGCAGGACAGGCCTTTCTGTTATTCCTGCCAGCTATGGGTTTGTGCCACTTTGTGGGCTCCAAGACAAGCTATGGGACTGCTCAAGCTCTTGAGGTCTGCCCCAAAGACGTAGCTTCTATACTCGCAAAGTACTGCCTGCGTCCTTCTTGACATCTGGAACGACACAGAGAAGATTAGCATTGTCCCTGCGGGAAAAAAAAAAAAAAAAGGCGAGAAGAAAAAAACAAAACAAGTATTACTTGTCCTTCGGGACATCCGGCTCCGCAGCGGACTTCTGGATTACTGCAATGCCTCCCCACTGTCTAACTGGCCATGTGTTCTCGGGAAGAGCAAGGGGATGTTGGAGGAAAGGGTTTCCTTTGGTTCATTTTTTTTCTATATTCAAAAGGGTATTCTTTTATTCAAAATGGTATGCATAAGGGTACTGCATTGTTCGAAAGGGTATTGCTTCACTTCGAGGGGTGTAGTCCCTGGCCTTGTTCTGTCCAATCGGATTCCTTTGTTTTTTTCCCCTTTTTTTTTTGAGGAGGAGGGGGGGGGTGTTCAAAATGGTGTAGCACCTAACTTAGTTGTGCCCGATGGGCTTTCTTTGCTCTTTGTTTTTTTTGTTCAAAGGAGTCTAGAGTCTAGAGTCTAGAGTCTATAGACCCTAACGGGTGTGGAGGCAGATGGTCCCCGATCAGACGTGGCCATGGGACTGGAGAGCAATTCTGCTGGGACATTCCCCAGCCCTACAAAATGGGACTTCTGCAGGTAACATGTTCTCGTTGGGAACGACGATCGTTCTATGGACTCTGTGGTGGGAGCGTTGCACCTTGGCTCTGGAAGCGGTCAGAGTGGAAGGGGAAGAGAGACTGGAACAGCTCAAGAAGAACCAGTTCCAACTGGAGCTCATGCGGCAATGGCAGGAGACAAAACGAACCCTGGACTCCTCCGACTCCCTACACAGAGCTAAGGATGTATCGGAAAAAAAACACGCAATTTGCAACAGACTGGCTGAGAGGGCAATAGGAAGGATGGGTGGCTGAGGTGCGCTGGTCGGGAGATAATAGATATGGAAGGAGGGAGCCAAGGAAAAGGGGGCAGCCATGCTGTTGGCTCGGACCCCCCCCGTGACTACCGCCTGCATTTCAAAGACTGTACGACTGTCGATCCCATCATACCACTGAGAGATGCTGAGATGTTCCCTGACCCTTTCCCACCACACCCCCTGTCCCTGGAAGTTAGTATGTAGTAATAGGAAGTAAGGAAGCCTCTCTCTCTCAAAAAAAAAGAAAAGAAAAAAAAAGGAATAGTGGGATAGGGCAAAGTGATGCAGGGCCCGGTTTCCAGCAGTATGAAAGGGTAAAGGGACGCTGGGCCCGGTTTCGAGCCAGCAACAGGTTAAAAGAAAAGGAAAAGACGTAAGGATAGCACGGGAGAGGCAGGGAGGGATCCACTGGTGGGCCCCAGTGACCCTCCTTCCTGGTCCCCCGTAATGGAATTGGAGAGACTGCAGATCTGCTAGTTTTGTCTGACGGGAGACTTTTTCTGGCATCCTGGAAAGGATGAAGAGGCAGACTCCCAGGGTGTGGGATGGGACGCTGGACCCATTTTTTCCAGCAAGTGAGGCACTCGGTTTTCTCATCAATTTCCCATTTTTCATCCCAATTGTTTGTTATCATAAGGGACGCTGGGCCCGGTTCCCAGCACGTGCTTCTCCCCAGAATAGATCCGAGCCTTGCACTAACCAAAAAAATATATATAATAAAAAAATTACAGTGCCCATAACGGGCCTACTTTTACACCCCCCTCGGAGCCAAAAACTTGACGAGTCCGGGGTACTCAGTGGGGACATACCCCCCCCCCTTCCTCCAACATCCTAGCAAACCTTGCTAGGGCCCCAAGAGAGAGAGAGAGAGAGAGAGAGAGAGAGAGAGAGAG